AGGAATTATGGGCGACTTCATCGATATGTATATCACACTAATTTGAATTGATGTGGCATAAATTCGACTGGCTGATGTTGATGTAGTTGAAGTTTGCACTTTGACTTTCAATTCGTTGACTAGTCTTCGAATCAGAGGACAATAAGTGCTGTTTACATTAACAAGAGTAACCATCTTGCATTCAGAAGGAAGAAAATTCAACGTTAACATGTTGATGTGATGCAGCAGACTTTCACATACTCCTCTCTATGGGATGATGTTATGAAGACAATTCCGTGATCACTGGTAATCACTACCTCATCGTGCCCTTTTGCTGAAATAACTGCCAAGCAGTGACATATGTCAGTCGTTCAACTGACCTCTTTTTCACAGTCCACTTTCCCATTGCTTTGTGAATCATTTTGCGAAATTTACTAACTCCTTCTCGTGAACGTGTATATCCACAACACTCTCTCTGGAAATAGCTCGAGGCAGTAGTAAATGAGATTCGAATGTAGGCAGAATGTTCTGATGAAAATGCTTTCAGTGGCAACATGACTGACTAGTTGTGAAATTCGGTCACCGAAATATTTTACTCCTCCTGTGTTTTTGACAAACTGATGTTACAGAAGCAGTGATTTCTTGTTTTGTTTGTCAATTTATAGTGACTGGGTTTTGTTATTTGGGAAGTGATGTTGGTAATGATGAAGTTCAATTCACTCGACACTGGTATGAAGCTGTCTGTTTTCTACCACACAGCATAGGGGACTATACTCATTATCAAACGGCTGGTCTCGCAAATCAACACTCGGTGTGCTTAAGTCTTCTTGAAACCGTGACTATTATTATATCGGATATGGATACATTCGAGAGACGAGAAGGCAATGCACGTGATGAATGCACGTCAACTACTGGTCAACAATGAATGGGTCAACAATGAATGGTGATATCACTCAAAACCTTGGTAATTGGGAAATGTACAAACCGTCATCAGATATATGATGCAGGCGGTTTCACAATAGAAATTGGATTATCTTGACGCAACCATTTCTGAATTGTTGAAACAAACAGTTACATTTCAAAGTGAATAAATCGATTAAGTTCTTGTTCCAAATTAAGCTCATAACATGAGCAATAATGATAATAATAAGGATCATTTTAATGTGTGATTTGGGCGTAAGAACTTCCAACTAGATGGAGTTGTTTATCAATATCATTTCAGGCTGTTGATAGTGTCTTTTTCTATGTCAGTCTTCAAAGCCAATTCCATACAAACAGTGTGAATAACACTTGCATGGAATCAACCTCGTCTCGTGGTTCGCTCTCTAAACAGCTCTAGTTCTAGGTGTGATTTCTCCACAGTTTCACTTGCAGACCGAAATTACCCAGATCATAATCTGTGGTTTGCTTGATAAGATTAATTGTAATCAAGGAAGAGAACACAGATTCATACCGACATTTACTACTGACTGACTGACTGGCTGGTTGGCTGGCTGCTGGCTGGCTGGCTGGCTGGCTGATATGAGTGTTTGTTTACCACTGTGATAATGCAGAATTGCTTGCTGGCCAGATCGAGCCTGTCTAAACACCTAAGAGCCTGAACATACCAAACCACCCCGTAATCCTAACCTGCTACTTGATCACACTGATAATATGTTGAATCGAATTCGCTCACCTTGTAACTGGAAGTTCCTAGATTCGAATCACGGTGAGTAGAGCCAAACAGCTGACCAGCATACATTGGTTTCTCCATAGCTCCTCTAAATGATGCCACCTTTTGACCAACATTGTAAGTATTCAAGTCGTTGATACCTACACTCGGTAATTTTTCTGGTGAGCAGCCATTACCAGCAGTATCCAGGACAGTTACTCACGGATGACGACGCTGTCTGATGGTTACACCATTCATCGCGATTTGAAGGTAGTTCCAGTTCACAGAGCTTTGGATGCGGTCGAAATGAATGTTGGGAGTTAAGGTCACTGCAGTCTGACAACCAATGCTACTTGTCGAATTCAGTAGTACCCAACTACTCAGTAGTATATGTCATCATACAAGATTTTCATTGTTTACAGGGAAAACAAATACTCAATGATGACTGCTCCTTCGTCATTACGTTAATTTGGATTCTGAAAGAAATAATTTTGAGCTAAGACTTAAGTTTTGTTCGTCATTAGGAAATGAAGTTTATTCTGCAAGGAGATCGTAATGAGCACAATCAACTTGTAATGAGTACTGTGATGAGCTTTACGTTTGTGTTTCCTTCAGACAAGTGCTATCTCTCAAGATAACTCAATGGAAATAACGTTGCGAAGTACTAAGGCAAGACTATCCATGCCGCACTAGGTGTGAGCAAATAATGGTCAAGAATAAAGATAGATTCTCATAGACAGTAAGGCAGATGGCAGTATCACTATAGGAATCAAAGGAAATTATTAGCCCCTATGCACTGAAGTGTCAGTCTTCTGAATAAACAATGTCGAAGATAATCTCATGTATATGAAATATACTATCTGTGTAGGACTTCAACAAGAGCTGACATCTGTGAGAGAACCATTGGTCCTGATCATGTAGGTAGTTATCTGGGTTCTATTGGGAAGTCAAGACGTGTTGGGCTAAAGCAGGTCGAGTGTAAAGACAAATGCTCAGCGCCAGTGACTTTAGTTAGTGCCAATCGCGCTATATGTTGAATTGGCATTTGCTTTAATTTATTGTTTTTTGTTTGGTTGTGTTTTGTCATTTTTTTTGTCTGTTAACTTGTCTTGTAACCGGAAGGTCTTTGATTCGAACCCTTGCCGGTTCGTGTTTGTGGAGAATCTGAAACTAATATGAAATAGCTGTCCAGTACTCCCAGTTGGTTTTCCAGTGTTTCTTAAACCTATATGAACTCACAACACTTCCTGTCACCAATCAAATCCCTGTAAACCAACACTTGAACTTAATCTGTATATTTTGTCAATGTTTAGTAATGGACTTATTTTTCCATCATTACTCCACTGATTAGGCAATGTTACAAACCACTAGAATTTATTACAGTTTTCTGAGTTTCATAATTTCCAGTTTTAGTTCACACATTTGACCCATAAATTTCTCTGGTCAAAACTTTCAATAACTAAGTTATATTAGGTTTTATGCTCTTCTCGCACTGGTTACGCACACGACAGAGTTTTGGCTTCCTTATGTGAGATATTTTCTGTATAGGCAAAGTTACATTACCGTCGAGGGTTTAATCGATTTCTGCTGATTACCAGCAGACATTCAAACGCAAAATATTATGCTGCGTCATTCTGGAGAGACTGAAAGAAGCTGTGAATGCAAGACAACCTGGAACAAGTTGGATTTAGGAAAAATAAGTCATGCGCGGATCAAAATGTGTCTGTACACATTATCATGAAATAGAGGGTAAGATGGTGACTGAATCTCTGCCTCAACTCCATCGGCTCTGTAAAGGCGTCAGATACTATTGACTGTGAATTTATTTGATAGCCGCTTCAACGCTATGAAATACCTGAACCTATATAAAACTCATTCAACAGCTATATAATGATGCTATAGGTTGAGTAATTCACAAAGGAAAGCTCTCTGAAGGACACTTTCAGGTAAAGACTGGAATACAACAAGCCTTCTTCTGTCACTTATCTAGTTATCAGTGTTTCTAATACAGGTAGTAATACCGAAGATGTCCAATGCACGATCGCAAGAGTTAAACAGGTGTTCACTAATCTGAATTCTGCTGTAATCGCCATAAGAAACAAGTTCCGAAATTTCAACACTAGTGTGAGTTCAGTTCTTTTATTTTTTTTTTTATTACAGCTTGATGCCACACCGTATTTGTAGGTACACGTATGGAATTTTCAGCAAGTGATATCGGTAGCCCAAATTTCATAGGTCGACCATAGATATCAGATGTGCGTCGGCAAGGGATCGAACCCCGGACCATGTGCATGGTCGACGAGAGTCATAACCACTGTGCCACCGACCCACAGGGACTTGGCACACGCATCACGAAAAGCCTATTCAACAGCCTACCATAAGATCATTTCAATAGCTGTCTCTGTTGGTTCTATACTGAAGATCAGATGGCTAACCAGAAAGGATGAACAACACGGAAGTGTGACAGCAAACCAATCAAGAACCTATTACGCAACAAATATGCTGGAGGAAACAGAAGTGGAGTGGACACATGGTAAGTAGACCATAGAGTTATATCACATGTCAGGGAAGCTTTCAGTTGGAATCAGAATGACAAATGATGAGCTGGACGCGTGTGTGAGTGCACCACTGAAGAGATTATATTAGCAGGGGGAAATTAAATCTTATGGGCACTTGTGGAGTCGGCTAGAGGAGAGGACTATAGACGGCAGATGATGTGCTGTTGAAACCCTATGTACCCGTTTGAACCCAGATGATGCTAAAATGAGATGAAAGCTTACAAAATACATATTGCTTCTCATCTCAACTACAAAATATGAATAAAAATAAAGATAATTCAGTCTACTGATTCAATTTTTTACTAATCGACCAAAATTTTAACAATAAAATGTTTCCTTTTCACACAAGTTTATTTACAAGAACAGAGAAAACAATATATATATATATATCAGTGTTTTCGGTTTAATAATCGGTAAAGAAGGTTTTTAATTTTCGAATATTAGATAAAAATATGCACTGGTAGTTTACATCGCTTAACAATGCAGTGAAGCCTACATTTCAGTCAAGCTAAAATGCATTCCTTCTAATATTCAGAACACAGTTTTCTTCACCATGTCATATATATACATATTCTCAGTTCTTTATGCACTTAAAAAAGGTTTGAATTTGAAACATAACATACTAAAATGTATATAAAGATATATATGTATATATATGTAATTGTATGCAAACTTCAGTATATTAATATACGTTATAGTCCTAAGATTATGGCAATGATATTATCGTTAGTTGGTAGTTTCTCTTCACAATTGAAAAACAAAAGCTTGTTAGGATATATGTGTGTTTATATTCAATACAGGATCGATTACACCTACCCACGGTCCACTTCTATGATTTGACAAACTGACACTCCAAGACATGTTTCAGGCAACGTACCTTGTGCAAATATACTTATCCAATAGATAGTACTCATTAGACAGAAACAGGTAGTCAGTAAAGTTTTTAATCCAGTTAAACAATAACTTGATGGATAGTTATTTACATTGAAATTATATACACTGGTAAATTGTGATACAGGTAAATATTGATTTCTAGGCAAGAGATTAGCTGTAGGCGGGGATAATGAAGTGTCGATCAGGTGTGATTGACACACATGACAATCTGACTGATTAAGATCAACACCTAACATATTGGGGTTGGGGTTGTTATTATTATTGTTGTTGTTGTTACCGCCGTTATTATTTGTTCGTCTTAAATTACGCCATTTCAAACCACGAAATGTACCATTGTTTATTCCGTTGCCAGATTCAGAACTCCCTGAGCATAAATAGTTCTCACCATAAGTTTCCTGTATGAATATAAGCATCAAAACAATAAATATGGATTATCAGGGTTGTACATAGAATATGAAATTTTTTAAAATGTTTACTGACAAGTTTTAAAGACATTTTAAAATAGCACTCTTGTTTAAACAAGATGAGCACTGTATAGTGTCATAGTTTGTGTGAGGTCTGAGATACTGCACGGAAGCCCAGACCGGAGCAGGTGGTCATCTTTAGGGTTCACATTCACTTGGAGTCTGATCCACAAGTCAGTGCAGCAGTGTTGGTAGCTGCATTCCAGTGGTAGTCGCCGGTCAAAACGCCTCATACATTATCCCAACTGTTTTTGAGCTCATGTACACGATAGGTTTGCACTCAGAGTTTTCCAGTTCCCCGAGGTAGACCATCATGAGCACTAATCTGTGTGTAAGCGTCTAACGTTCCGATTAGTCCTTTTACCTATGTTAGGAAACTCCCCGGCCGTTGGACACAGTCGATAGGACTGACCTGGAGAAGACTATTAACGTATGGCTATATGAGGGCATTTCGAGAAGAAGACGAAAGTCTATACACCCTTAGACGTACTAGATCGTTTATAGGGGGGCAAAACACAGTTAATTGATGTATTATTGCTAGATTTTTTAAATATTAGTCAGTTCGACTCAAAGTGAGGCTTAGAAATAACCAGTCTAAAGAAGGAAGCTTATAAAGAATTTTGTTTGAAGAAAATTCATTGGTGGATGATAACTAGCAGCGGAATCCAAGATGCACATCTCGTTCTATTTAGGACTCGTTACTGGAAGCATCTGCACAAGAAGCCGACATGTCAATCTGAGACCGAGCACTTCGGTCCAATCAATCGACGGAAAAAGCTAAAATTCAATCAAAAATTCATTCATGTTAGCGAATTAAACTATATTTTCACCCTAAGGAGATGAAAGCCAATCAACATATATACAGTGAACTAATACAAATTTCTATATAATAATAAGTAGCTAAAGTTTGTCTGACTCTTGTATTGTACTTTCGCAACATATTTTGAAAAAGGCGCTCACACATGTACTTGTCGTTCATACCTGAGTAAAACTTAACGGAATGTAACAGGTCAAAATTAAAGCAGTATCTGTCGGAATGCTACAAAGATGGCTGAATATATTCTAGGTGTTCAGAAATTGTTTGCTGCCACAGTCAACCACCAATGGTGATCCGATTTCGAAACTCGGGGTTATTTATGTGATGATATTTTTCACTTATCAGTGATATGGCCCTAAAATTAATATCTGGACGCATGCTGATACGGCGGCCTGCTTAAACAGCTGGGCTACCTAAATTTTCTACGTATTAAACACGTAGTTTCACTCCGTTTCACATAGCTTTAGTGATTTAATTACTACAGTGAAACATAGTCTATTCTCGCGAACAATTTCAAATACTTCCCTTACCACTGCAAGGAAATTTTTGAATATAAGTGAGGAAGGACACTCTGCAGCAAGGTTCCGTGGAGCAATACTTCCTCAGATGATGTATCGTCGATTATTATATCATTTGGAGATTGCACAATGAGTAACTATCTTGCAATGAAACTCGCTCATAATTATGCGGTGTGTATAAAGGCATTTAATATATGTGTAAAACTTGGGCACTGTGGTAGTGACTAATTCCAAATTAGTTTGTTAGTTAGATCTATCACACAGTGAAGCAGTATTATTTACTGGATGTAAAAGTTTCGAACAAAATTTATTGTTCACAATCATGTCATCAATTGTAACCATACGACTCCGAAACTTGAGTTTTGCAGTTTTTTTGTTCTCTCCTATTTGTCTTCGTAGGAGTAGTAGAATTTTTCAGATATCTGGGACAAATTTAAATGTTTCCTTTTACGCGTGTTTGCAGTTGATTCGGTAAACAAAGCTTCTGTTATCAATCTTTCCCTCCACCCTGTGACATTAGATTTTAAAACTTATCCCATCCATTTAATTGTATTGTTGTGTGTAACAACATGTTGTCAGTGCTATAGCTGATCTATTCTCTAGATTTCTAATTTTATTCGGGCTAAATAATCTACATTTTGCTAAGCTTTTATGTTCGGCTAGTTTGACTGCCCCTGTTCTACCACTTTGACCTAAGTATTTGACCTTCAATCCTTCAATCAATGAAGCTTGTTTCTAATTGAGTTTGTGAGTTTGAATGTCAGCCACTTTTATTCCTGCCTGTATTGTTAAGAGTTCTGCATGAGGTTTCCGAGGTTCCTTCTTTGTATAGAAGTACTACTGATGATTTAGATTCCTTATTGTTGGTGTTGTCATTATCTTGCGCATGTTTGACATGCATGTCGTCATTAATATTATTATTGTTATTATCACTATCACTACTATCATTATTTATTTCATTTTTACATTTCCCTACATACATTTTGACTAATTTATCAGGGTAATTATTTATCAGTTTCAAAGCTTCTATTATATGTCTCACTTGCTGTCTCAGATTTTCCTTGGTACTACTTAGTTTTTGTGCTCCATTATTGAAACATTTCACCAATCCTATTTTCACTGACATAGAATGGGATGATCGGAAGTTCAAATATCTGTTTGAGTGTGTGGGTTTCCTGTTAACACCAGTGTTTAACTTTCCATCCTCTTTCATTTTACGTTGTAATCTAACATTGGAAGCTCCCCTTCTTTACTTTCCAATTCATAAATGAATTGAATTGCCTCCACCTTTGAGTTAATATGTTCGAAAAATCTATTTATATCCTGTGTTGTAAGTACAGTGGATGTGTCATCTACATACCTTCACCATACTTTTGGGGTGGGGGTGAACGTTTTAATCGCTATGCTTTCCCACTTATTCATGAATATATCTGCTACCACTGGGGATATTGGTGATCCCATGGCAACTCCCTCAATTTGTTTGTCTATTTTCCCCTGGAATTTAAATACTGTGGAAGTCAGGCATAGCTGTACCCCAAGAATTATGTCCTTATGTGGCACTTTGGTCCCAGGTTCCAGTATAGAAGCATATTTTTAGAATAAAGCAATTATTATCATTGATACTAATTCATTTTGAAGTTTAATGCTCTGTTGATTTTAGCACACATATGAATGATATGCACATGTGCTATTGGTTCGCTTGAAATGTGCTGCGTCTTTTTAGTGATTTCTTGATGTCGGTGATGCAATGATAGATAGCTTACCTAACCCTCAGGAGCCTCATGTTCAGTATCCTATGTGTTCCTAAGTCTCACTTAGTCGACACTGACCTTGTGAGAGGGACATGAGGCTAGTAACCTCACTACGTGAAGACAACAAAATCTCTGCTGCCAAAACGTTAGAGCCGGGATCTCTATTTCTCACTGAGATTGCAAGGAATGAGACAAAAATCGAGTTTTCGAAGTTCATAAAACGAAATGAGTGTTATAAATTCACACATATGGAAAGCACTCCTTCCCAGCCTTTGGAATGCCATAAAAACCTTTTCACAAATAACGGTAGTTTGGAAACTACTTATGCCCCAACATGGGGATAATTCAAACCTATGAACTAAAACTGCACAATTTTAAGCTAAGTGATTATTACTAAGTTTGCAGTGTGTTTAACAAAGCACTTAATTACAGGATGTACCTTACTCAGTAACCTAGAAATCATGTCCCATCTAAAAGTCTATGCGTTCTTTTTTGTTATTATTATTGGTGGAGTACCGAATAAGGTCCAAGTATTCGCTTGTCCATTTGTAAACCCATTTGGACAATAATGAAGAAAGTTCATTCTGTATTTCAGTAATCATTTAGCCTACAAGGTGCATTATAATTTCTTTGTCGGTGCTGTAAAAGTGACAAAACACTTAAATTACTTGATTCCACCTAATGAAGTTTTACTGAATCACTTTTTTCAGAGTCATTCAGCAGCCATATACAAATTTCACACGTTAAGCGATCCACAACAGAAAACTCAATGAAGTCCTTGAATTAAAGACAGTCGTAATACAAGGCTGTCTGTTATCACCGATGATACTCCTAACTGTGGTAGACTGGATTACGCGACAGACTATGTCACGCAAACTCGAAAATTTACAGGCGGAAATCAACAAGCTGACAGAACAAGCAAAAAATACAGGACTTCAGGTGAACACAGGGAAGACGAATGTGATGAAGATAACCGATCGACTAAAAACAAGCACCTATCACTCTCAACAGGAGAAAATTGAAAGAGGTCCCTCCCTTCACTTATTTAGACGGCGTCATTTTAGTTACAGGCTACGGCACGATGAAGATATCAAAACCAGAATTGGAAGGGCAAGACAAATCTTCATCATTCTGAAATCGATTTGGAGGTTTTCTGAACTAAGCATTTAGAACAGAATCAGTCACTGCTCCTGCATGAGTCATAAATTTGGCGCTCTTGTCATAAAAAGCATTTCCAACAGGTTGCAGTTTCGTATCAGCAGCTGCTATCACTGGCTGTATACTGAAAATGAGATGGTCAGAAAGAATTGGTGACTGGAACTCTTGGAATAAATCGATCAAGAATCTGTTGCTTAGCAAAATGTAGAAGAAAATGGAGATGGATCGGATACACTCTGAGAAGACCACTATGTGGCGTCATGTGTGAATCCATCTCTTGAATGCAACCCGAATGGGAAACGACAAGTTGATCGTGGGTCTGACATGGATGAGATCGTGTGAAGAGGAAATAGGCGCCCACGGGCAATCGTGGAGGCGAAGTGTGGGAAATAGAACATAGTGGGGATGTGCTGTTAAATGCCTCTTTCCTACTCAGAACCCAATGGAATAATAATAAAATAATAATACCTGGTTAACGTGCATATTCCTACTGTTGAATATTTCAGTGCATATTTTCCCAAGGAATTCAAAAACCAGCGTTGTTATACATGGCTCAAAGTTTCCAGCATCTAAATTCAATCTCTTCTCAAACTTGTTGATGTGGCATGGAGTAATCTTTCATGAATGCAAATGCTTCTTAGTAAAATTATTTTATGAGGTGCTAAGTAAATATATTAACCCATCATACTGTTTGAACTACAAAGATAAATGCTAGGGAACATGCGACCTACCCTTTTACTCACAGACAGTCCCATTGTTTGTGTGAATCCCATAGGTCCTGGACTATTGTTTGCAGTAGCATTTGTCTGTAATATAGGTAGTCCTTGACAAGCATGACCGCTACCAGCCGACAAACCACAACTACTGTTACTGCAACACACAGCAGTCCCGTTCGATGAAACAAATCCTGTACTTGTTCTACCGGCTATACAACTAGTACATGAGTCTGGACAGGCACCACAATTTCCACAACATCCATATCCTGGAATTGACACTGGTCCATTTATTCTGTCATTAACAGTAGATGGTTTGTTATGATTTAAACCAAAAGAGGATAGACGATCTAATTGTTGATACTTTTTTCTAAGAAATCGACATACGAAACGATAATGAATTAAAGTAAACAGGTAGACTACACCGATGGAACACGAGCACAATAAACACCAGACATTAAGGAATCCAGTGGATGTAGAGTTATCCAAGTTTTGTCCATTCATCCATAACCAGAATACAATTGAAAGCAAGAATAGAAGTAACTGTGTACAACTAAGATTTTGTGTTCCCAATTGACTTGTCCACAACAGTGTAATAGAGATAAGTACAAGAAGCAATGGTGGTAAACTGCCTTGAAATATTCTACCACTTTGAGAGAAACAAATGTTAATCCCAAGACTTTGATCTGGGCCTAAAAGATTATGAAATGAAACAAAAAATAGTTTTGAAAACCAATTAATTAATGTCCAAATCTAAATATGTGAATTTGTTTGAAAAACTTTATTATAATTTCATATCTGAACAGGTAAACTCATATAGTAAAGGCTTTAGGCCTGGCAGAGCGTGTATTTGTGGTATGTGCTATGTGGATGCAGATTGATGCGAATAGGCTTAAAACTGAAATCAACATTTTACGCCCATTGCTGCAGGGGTAAAAGTGTTTATTCCTCACATCTGGATTTAGTCTACGTTGTAGTCTCATAATAATCTCACCGGACAGCCTTTCCTTCCTTTGTTTAACCTTGGGCGAATTACCAGCCAATCAGAACGGTTTTTGTCCACTGATTTAACCCAATTCTAATTTTTTAGAAAAGTATAAATACGATGCGTCTTTCCTTAATATAAATTCCATAACAACTTTCACCTAGTGCCGTTACTTATTCGTCATTCCATCACCCTTTAACAAATTTTAAAACATATGCATGCTTATCAGAGTCTCACACTTTCCGTATTTTTTTTGGTCTGAGGGCAGGATTCGATTCTGTCGACCAAGAGATGTTGTGGCAATGCTTCGCCGTGATTGGAGAGACGAGAAAGCATACTGAACAAAATAAGACACTCTACTGGAAATCACAGAGGGTTGTTATTCGAAGTGATGAAAACCGGGGATGTCCATGATGAGTGTCCACTCTCCCATCTTTTAAAATTAATTTCATCACAGATGGAATATTGGAAGTTGACAATATTGACGTATCAGACAAACTCATGGTATCGTATGACGTGACCTCCTTGTTCACAAACGTACCACTGATATCCTTTGTAAACAAATGGATCTACTACCGTTACCGGAAACAGAGATGAAGCGACTACTGCTGCTCTGCACAAAAGATATACAATTGAAATTCAACAATCAACTCTACCGACAAACTGACGGGGTTGCGATGGGTTCACCTCTGGGACCTATACTGGCTGATATCTTCATGGGCTACCTTGAACAGACATAACTAAGTTCTGCTATCAATGGAACAACCTACTATCGCCGATATGTTGATGACACATTTGTTGTTTGCAACGACATGGATCACGCATCGGCATTCTATGATCGTCTAAATGAGATCCATCCAAATATCAAGTTCACCATGGAATATGAACATAAAAATGAGTTCAATTTCCTAGATCTAAATGTAAAAAAAAAACAAACGAAGGCATGATTGGAAAGTCCATCTATAGAAAAGAAACCTGGACTGGACAATATCTTCACTATAACAGCTTTTGTCTCATAAGCTATAAACGTGGATTAGTGAGGACTTTGACGACAGAGCCAGGAAGCTATGTTCACCAAACAAGGTCGAAGAAGAACTAGATTTCGTCGAGAAATGCCTGAGGGAAAACGGATACCCTAAAGGATTTATACAGAAGTATAGCAGAGAAAAAGATAAGAAAGAAAAGCATCCAACTGTAGAAAAGAAAAAAGTGTTTATTCGTCTCCCATTCAAAGGAGATGCAGTTTCACAAAAGATTGACAGAAGACTGAAATAAATAAATAGAAGCTTTCCGGCAGCAAAACTCATAACAGTATACAACACCACTCCTTCCATGATCCACTCAAAACTGGATAAATACCCTGCTGATGTCACCTCCAACTGCGTTTATGAATTTACGTGCACTTGCGGGAGCAAGTACATTGGAAGGACAGAAAGAAGGGCTTCTATCCGGTTTTCTGAACATATTCCAAGAAACCTATGCCTGAAAGGAAGCAAATATTCTCAGAGTGCAATTACCAGACATATTGTTGATACCGGACATCTCGTAGAGATTTCTAAGTCCTTCAAAATATTAAATAGACAAAGGACAGCAAATTTACTACGATTTGCCGAAGCGATCGCAATCAAACGATTTAAACCAGACTTATGCATACAGAAAGAGAGTGTGATTAACCTCTCACTCCCTTGGTAACTGAATTTTGATTTTGATTACAATAATTAGTCATCTAATTCAGTGATCTCAACTCACTGAACAAATCTTAATCTCATAAACTGTAACCGCCTTTGTTTTTTGGAGTTGCTATGTGAACCTACAAGCTAACACTGTTTCTGTTAATCAATTTTTCTGTTTTCTGTCTTACCCCTCCCCCCTCTTTTCAACTTTGAAAGTGTATAAATTGATGATGATAACTTAAACTAAAAATTGTAATGCTTTCATTCTTTTTTGGATGCGTCAATTTTATCTCTTCTCTACTACTACTCAAACATTAAAGTATGTTATTATCATTTATATAACCATTGTAATTTCAGGTAGTCTGCAGCTGATGAGAACCTGTGAAATAGAATGATATCATTTTATACTGCAAATTTCGTCTTCCTTTCTTTATCGAAATTTATCAAGGGAACCAGTTGTATGAATATTGGATGAGTCTGTAATCGACTTTAGAGTCCTAAAAATTGACTTATTACCAGGGAACTATCTGATGAACGTATAGTGTGCGGACGATATAGTCCTTCTGGATGGAGACCCTAACGAAATAAAGTGTTATCTAAACACCATGAGCAGAAAGTTTTGATTATTTGGCATGCAACTTGCTCCTGCCGTATGTAATATGAATCCGCAGGACTAAACTGTAATGACTACTTGTTTAAAGGCAACGAGTAAAATGGTAGAGAATGTTAACTACTTCACTTATTTGAGAAGTTGTATCAACCCTAATGGATCGATTGCTGACGGAATCTCAATATGTATACAAACGAGGCATTTGCTGACTTACGTTATCTCTGGCGTATATGAGATATCCAGCTAGCCATCCTTCTTTATGGCTATGAAACATGACCACTGACAGTGGAAGATATGGAAAAGGTTAACTGCATTTCTGCACAGATATTTGCATTTTAACCACTCTGTTAAACGACATTAAATGGTAATAGTGATGTGAGTGCAGGAGGAAAGTCCAGTGTAACAAGCCACCTTCTCTGTCGAAGAGCCGTGTTACCTGATATAGGATGAGGCTGGGAAAGAGTTAGTGGTGGATAAATCAAAACCTGGCAACCAGTCATAATTTTTTTTCACACTTGGTTTGAGCTAAGTAGGGGGGTGTAGACTGCCTACCTGAGTTCCCGTTAAGAATCAGTGAGTGGAGACTGTTGATGGTATGGTTTGGAAGTATCTCAGATGTACTAAATCCTCACGTTTTTTCTTAGTGTTATTACTTCTGTTCATTATGTTTATTTTGAATTGCTTTTTTCTCTACTTTAGTGTGCTACATGGAGTGTGACAACGTGAACTGCTACGTTTCAATGCAGAGTTCTATGTTGAAACGCAATCAGTCATTCAGACTTTCTTCCCAGAACAACCTGGTTCTAATTAGGCTCACTAACTGTCCAAAATCTACATTTATGGGAGAAAAAAGCCTCACTAAGAGACTTAAAGAAGTGCTGTGTACGAGGAAAGATTGCACTGACTGGAAATAAAAAACATGTGTTCTCTGCTATCTAGGATTAACTAGCTTAATGTTCTTGAATTACTTCGTACAATGGCTCTATTAGACTCCTGAATTCCGTAAATGTAGGGAAAATGACTTTTACAAAAGACCCATCTGAAGACTTCAGAAATGTCTGCTTCCTACTATTGAAATGCTACTTACACAAAGTATATTTTCAAGAATTGGTTTTGTAACGATTTTGTTTGATTAGTTGG